TTTTGAAGATTTATCGTTTGTCAGTTACTCCATCTGCAATTACTTTCTCCCATTCTTAGAATTGTCTTTTTATCTTGTTTATAGTTTCCTTTGTTGTGCAAAAGCTTTTAAGTTTAATTGGGTCCTATTTATTTATTTTTGCTTTTATTTCCATTACTCTAGGAGGTGGGTCAAAGATCTTGCTGTGATTTATGTTTGAGGCTGTTCTGCTTGTGTTTTCCTCTAAGAATTGCATAGTTTCTAGTTTTGCATTTAGGTCTCTACTCCATTTTGAGTTTATTTTTATGTATGGTATTAATAAGTGTTATATTTCATTCTTTTACATATAGTTGTTTAGTTTTCCCAGCATCACTTAACTAAGAAACTGTCTTTTTTATACTGTATAGTCTTGCCTTTTTTGGCCATAGATTAAGTGACCATGGGTGCATAGATTATCTCTGGGCTTTCTATCCATTTCATTGATACATATTTCTGTTTTTGTGCCAGTACCATACTGTCTTGTTTACCGTAACTTTATAGTACCTGAAGTTGGGAAGCCTGATTCTTCCAGTTTCCTTTTTTTTTTCTTTCTCAAGATTGTTTGGCTATTCAGGGTTTTTTTGTGTTTCCACACAAATTGAAAACATTTTGGTCTACTCTGAAAAATGCCACTGGTAATTTGATAAGGATTATATTAAATCTGTAGATTGCTATTGGGTAGTATAGTTATTTTCACAATATTGATTATTCTAATCCAAGCACATCATATATCTCTCTCAGTATTGTCTTGATTTTTTTCATCAGTGTATTATAATTTTCCGCATACAGGTCTTTTACTTCCTTAGGTAGGTTTAGTCCTAGGATTTTCATTCTTTTTTTTTTGTAGTGGTGAATGAAATTGTTTCCTTAATTTTTTTTTCTGATCCTTTGTTATTAGCATATAGGAATGCAAGAGATTTCTGTATGTTTATTTTGTATCCTGAAACATTACTAAGTTCATTGATTAGTCCTAGTGGTTTTCTGGTGGAATATTTAGGTTTTTCCATGTGCAGTATTTTGTCATCTACAAATGATGACTCTTTTACTTCATCTTTTCCAATTTAGATTCCTTTTATTTCTTTTTCCTCTCTGATTGCCATGGCTAGACTTCCATGACTATGTTGAATAATAATGGTGAGAGTGAACACTCTTGTCTTATTCCTGATCTTAGAGGAAATGCTTTTGGTTTTTCACCATTGAGAATAATATTTGGTGTGGATTTGTCATATATAGACTTTAATGTTGATGTAGTTTCCCTTTACCCTCATTTTCTGGAGAGATTTTTTTTTTTTTAAATCATAAATGGGTATTGAATTTTGTTGAAACTTTTTTTATGCATCTGTTTAGAGGATCATATGGCTTTTATTCTTCAATTTGTTAATACAGTTTATCACATTGGTTGATTTTGTATATTGAAAAATCCATGCAAAAAAACATAAATTTTACTTGATCATGGTGTCTGATACTTTTAATGTGTTACTGACTTGAGTTTGCTAGTATTTTATTGAGAATTTTTGTCTGTATTTTCATCTGTGATATTGGCAGGAAAAACAGGAAAAAAAAAACACAAAAAACCAACAAAGTAAAAAATAGTTAAATAAAAATAAGAAAATATATATATTAAAATAAAATAAAAAGAATAAAAGATAAAAAAACAGTAAAAGCAACAACAGCAACAAGTGAACAAAATGAAACAAATACAAAAAAGAATAGTACTAATAATTGAGTGTTTTCCTGGGAATTCAAGCTATCAGGGATCTTGCTCCCACAGTGGTCCAAAATCAATCCCTGCCTCCCCAGGAATCCTTTCAATGACTCTAGGTAGTTCTCTGGACCTGCTGTGGGCACTGTGGGGCCAGTTCAGACCCTGATCTGGCCCAATTCCTGCATGTATTTGCTCCCTAAGTCCACTCCTATGAAGGCTAGACTGGTTTCAATTGTGGGAATACTATTCAGGTATTCCTCATGTACAGGATTTACCAAGCTTATCTCAGGGATTTTGTGAAACTGTACCAAAAGATTTCCATTGCTCTTCCTAAGTCACACTGCCTGTGTGGCTAAGCATGGGTTTTGACTCCATTTCTGCATGTCTGCTGCCCTCAGACACTTGTTCCCTGTCCAGGTGAGAGGGAGGGAAAGCTGCAGCTGCTTGGGGCACAATTACTCACTCAGACACGATTGTAACCCCTGTGGTGGCTTGCTGTGGTGGAAGTCCCTCCCAGTGCCCATGGAGGTAGGAGCTGGCATGTGGGGACGGTGCCAGCACTGCCCTCCGTGTGTGCCCCTCTACAGTGGTGCATCTGTCTCCAGCAGATCTCGCTTCCTCCAGGGGATACTTAGCCATGCATCCCCATCCTCCTGTTGCCTCTGCTGCATCCACGCAGCCAACAGTGTTCTTCTCCCTTGATCATTTTCTCAACCTCATGGTTTACCACTCGGTCCCTGCCGGTATCAGTGGATCCTTTTCTCAGGCAGTGCCCGTGATTGACTCCCAAGAAGGCTTTGGAATGGGTGGTGCTCAGACCTCTGGAGCCCTCGCAGCCAGTAGAGACCCTGGCCTGAGGGGTGAGCAGGGCCCACTCAGAAGGAAGCCCCTCTCAGGGCCCATGGATGCCAAAGAGATTGGCAGGTGGTGGAAGGGGCTGTAATGGCAGTTATATCCCTAGTGTACCACTCAACAATGATATTGTGCTTCTGTGGTGTCCGGGGCTTTTTCCACAGACTTTCCCAGTTGTGGAGCTCCATACTCCTGACCCTTCAGGCTGTCCTTTTTAGCTAGTATCTGTCCCCTCCCTGGGTCTATACTCCCAACCTCACTTTCTAGCAACCGGTCCGTCTTTGCAACAGACAACGCATGATTCAGGCTGGAATGTCCATCAGTGTGGTATAGATCATGTGTGAAGTTTAACTTATTTTGTCCTGTTTTCCACAGATCATCCACTGTGTTCTTTGATCCTGGAGGGGCCTTTTCTGTCCCAGTTGATTTTTCCACCTTGAGGGCTTTTTTTTTTTTTTCTGAGTGTAGGGACCTCCCTTGATTTCATATTCAGCATTACATCAGGCTTGCTGGTCCCTTTTTTGGTTCCTCTTTTCTTTTTTTCTTTCTTTCATCATACCTGGTTGTGGGGGGACTTTTGTTTTAAGTGTCTGTTAGTGTTCAGCAGATGCTTTTTGACAATTGTCCCATTTTTAGGTATATTTTTGATGTACTTGTGCTCAGTTGCTTCACTTGTGCCTGACTCTTTGCAACCCTATCTACTGTAGCCCACCAGCCTCCTCCATTCATGGCATTTTCCCAGTAAGAATACTGGAGTGGGTTGCCATACCCTCCTCCAGGGGCTCTTCCTGACCCAAGGATTGAAGCCATGTCTGCTGCATTGCAGGTGGATTCTTTAGCACCGGGCCACTGGGGAAGCCCTGATGTACTTGCGGGAGGTGATTAATTTTGCAAACCCCTACTCCATCATCTTGACTTCTTCTCTTCTGCTCTATTGTTTCTTGATTATTTCTCCTTTTTTTTTTTCTGAATTCTCTCGCTTTTCTGACTAGCAACTTTAAATCTGCCTTTTGGAATGGAGGGAAGGTAAAGGAGGCAGAATGGAGCCTATTTCCTACAAACAAGGAATATGAGACAAAAGACAAAAGAAGCTTTTGTGTCCAGGAGAGTATCATAGTGTCAAATTGTCCCTCTCAAATGTAAATTTTCCTGCTCAAATGCAAATGTGAACTGTCCTGTACAAATGTAAATTTCAATTTCAAAAATTGCTATGGTGTAAGAAAATTTTTCTCAGATTTAAACTAGTGTGCTATCATGCTAAGTTGCTTCCGTTGTGTCTGACTCTTTGCGAGCCCGTGGATTGTAGCCCACCAGGCTCCTCTGTCCATGGGATTCTCCAAGCAAGAATACTGGAGTGAGTTGCCATTTCCCTCTCTAGGGAATCTTACCAAACCAGGGACTGAGACTGCTGTGTTTATCATATTTAATTCTGAGACTTGGGTTCCAGAATCAAATATGATAAAGAAGAGTTTTAAATGATTTTCCTACATGTAAATGATTGTCAACACACATACACATACACAAACACACACACACACAGATAGTAAGGAGAATGTGAGCTTAGAGAGATGAGGCAAGAGGGATGGGATAAAAAAGAGGGCCCATTGAGAACACTGGGAAGAGGTAATGGCAAAGTGTGAGAGGAGAGTGGCCATGGACACAGAGTTCAGGTTGGGTGGATAAACTAAAGGAATTCTAGATTAAAAAAGACTGGGGACTTCCCTGGGTGGTCCAGTGGTTAAAAATCTGCCTGCCAATGCAGGAGATACAGGTTCTATCCCTGATCTGGGAAGATCCCACATGTCCTGGAGCAACTAAGTATATATATCACAACTACTGAGCTCACGGTCTAGAGCCTCTGATGCGCAACTGCTGAAGCCCACAAGCCAAAGAACATGTGCTCAGCAACAGGAGAAGATACAGCAGTGAGAAGCCTGTGTACTGCAACTAGAGGGTAGCCTCCAGTCACCACAAGTGGAGAAAGCCTGCGTGTAGCAAAGAAAACTCAGCACAGCCATAAATAAAAAATATTTAAAAAACAGAATGGAGGCCGATCAATTGTTTAATATTATTCTTCTTTTTAACAGATGTGAAAATAAAGAATCAGGGAGGTGAAATAACCTTTCAACATTGCATGGTAACTTTTCCAAGGTAATAAATATGAAGGAAACTGAGATCAAGGAGATCATTTAGACCAGAGACGTGAAAACAAAATCTATAAGTCATGAGCTGGAGAGGAAATGAGAGACAGAGTGAAAGCCCAGAGCCGTGGGAAGCAGTTTTTCAGTGATGAGCAATGTGTGTGCAGAAGAGATTTGTCAGTTGAGGGAGGGAGGAAGTCACTATAAAGTACTGAGAAAAAGGTTTGCTGAAATTAGAGATCAAATACCAATTCTGAGCGTCAGAAGCTCTACTTCCCATTGAAATGCTGCTTCTGCCACTTCTGTTGCTAGCAGTTATTGTCCCAGGTGGTGACAATGAGGATGGTAAGAGTTAACTCTGGCTGTTTCCAGCATAGGTGCTGCACTTCTGGATAAAAACATGCTGCATTTACAGTAAGGGTCTGGGCTCTCCTGTCTCCAGCTCTCTGCTCCATTCTGGAGGCTGGGGGTGGAGCAAGAAGACTTGGGGCAGGGAACTGTTTCAGGCTCTATGTTGTTCAGACTCTGGGTTCTTTTTCATTTTATCCTAATTCTCTTTTGCCTCACTTTTCCTATCCTTCCACCACCACAGCATTCCAGGGGCCAACCTCCTACCATGTCATCCAGATTTCGACATTTGCTAACAGCACTTGGGCTCAAAATCTAGGCTCAGGCTGGTTGGACGATTTGCAGATTCATGGCTGGGACAGTGACTCAGGCACTGCCATTTTCCTGAAGCCCTGGTCGAAGGGCAACTTCAGTGATGAGGAGGAGGCTGAGCTGGAGGAACTATTCCGAGTCTACCTCATTGGATTTATTCGAGAAGTGCAGGACCATGTCAGTGAATTCCAGTTGGAATGTGAGTACAATCCTCTGAACTGGGGACGCTTTCTGCATGCATATACCTCTCTAGAGTAGTCTCCAACCCTGACTCCATACCTCTACCTGGTATCCCAGATTTTTCCTATTCTTTGAACTCTTCTGCCATAGATGAAATTCCTCCTTTGTGAACATTTCCTGGTTTGTTTGTGCATAACTTGCTTTTCTCACACCCCAAGTAACAAGTCCTCACTTTACCTACTCTGTTGCTGAGTGAATGAATCCCTCCAATCTGTCTCCTCAAGCATCTTGTGCCTGATCCCTTCTCTCAGTGTAACTCCCCCCTTCAGGCTGGAACGCTGTACTTCTGACCCCCCTCTTGACCACCTATTCCTTATAAGAGCACATTTCCACCATTTACAACACGTGTAACTCTCCCAAATGCTTTTTTCTGAAAAGTCTCTGAATATGGCTTTTTTTTTTTTTTGAGTCACTTCGCATCTCAGACCTTTCCATCAAAATCTAAAGTCCCATTTCCTTTTCCCGTTTCTTTCTTTCTTATGTGCTTTAAAAAACTTTGTCTCTGTTTTCTTTCTATCCAGACCCCTTTGTGATCCAGGGCATAGCAGGCTGTGAGCTGCATACTGGGAAGACCACAAGAAGCTTCTTGCGGGGAGCTTTCGGAGGCCTGGATTTTGTGAGCATCAAGAATGATTCATGTGCGCCAGCCCCAGAGGGCGGCAGCAAGGCCCAGCGTTTCTGTGCACTCATCATTCAGTACCAAGCCATCTGTGATACTATAGCCAAGCTCCTCTTAGAAACCTGCCCTCGGTATCTCCTCAGTGTCCTTGATGCAGGGAAAGCAGAACTGCAGAGGCAAGGTTAGTCCTGTTCTCTCCCCAAGGCTTTTCTGTTTCACCTTTCATCACCTTCTTTAAATTCAAAAGTGGGAGGTACCTAAAAGGAGAGTGTTTTCATTATTAAATTATTTAGTTTCCAAAGAAATGGAAGAGGTCACTATCCAAACTTGTGAGTTTCCAAGTCTCTATGCTCTGGATTAGAGTCATAATCTGACGTTCTTACTGCTCCTTCCTACCCCAGTGAAGCCGGAGGCCTGGCTGTCCAGTGGCCCCCCTCCCCGGCCTGGCCACCTGCGGCTGGTCTGCCATGTCTCAGGATTCTACCCAAAACCTGTGCGGGTGACGTGGATGAGGGGTGAGCAGGAGCAGCCTGGCACTCAGCAAGGAGATATCATGCCCAATGCAGACTGGANAAAGAATCAAGAGGTTTTTATTGCTCTCAGGGACTTTGATATCTGTGCTATTTTTGATATCTGTGATATCTTTGATATTGAGTCATAATTTTGACTTTTACTTATGTTTGTTCATCCTTTTGCTTATTTTACAATTTCCTAGAAATTTCACTTTAGAAATTTAAGCTTATCTAATAAATACAACAGGAAAGGGGAGAAGAGATTCTGAGTATATTTTTTGTAGGATTTAGGAAGGGAGGTTAGAGCAAGTGGAAGTTTTGGAGAAGGCAGGGTTACTGGAAGCAGTTCTGCAACCTCATCATGCTAGGACAATACAGATGTCATGATATGGGAAGGGTAGGAAGTGACTTTTCAAATGACATTTGTTTTCCTCTGATCCATCAGTACATCTGGTTATTTCTCCATCATGCATTAAACACTACCCCATCTTACAGAGTTAGAGAAGGCAATGGCAACCCACTCCAGTACTCTTGCCTGGAAAATCCCATGGGCAGAGGAGCCTGGTGGGCTGCAGTCCATGGGGTCTCGAAGAGTTGGACACAACTGAGCGACTTCACTTTCACTTTTCACTTTCATGCATTGGAGGAGGAAATGACAGTCCACTCCATTATTCTTGCCTGGAGAATCCAAGGGAAGGTGGAGCCTGGTGGGTTGCTGTCTAAGGGGTCACACAGAGTTGGACATGACTGAAGTGACTTAGCAGCAATAGCAGCAGCATCTTACAGGGTAGGCAAGTTGTTTTATGCTTCACTGCACCCTCAGCTAAGGCCAGGACCCTGATTAGTCTGTGTTTTTTGGGGGTGTGGATTATGAACCAGCAGTAGCAGTAGTACCTGTGAGCTTGTTAGAAGAAGAAATTTTCAAGCTCAACACTAAACCTATTGAAAAAAAAATCCTTGAATAGGAACAATAATGCTGTGTTTTCATAAGCCTTTTAGATTATTTGAATGCGTGTTTAATTTTAAGAACATCCTATCTAAAAATTTTTCAAGCCCTGGACTACTAATACATTGGGCTGAATAATTTTTTGTTGTGGAGAGTTGTTCAATGCACTTGTAGGAATTTTAGCAACATTGGAAGGACTGATGCTGAAGCTGAAGCCCCAATACTTTGACCACCTGATGTGAAGAACTGACTCATTGGAAAAGACCTGATACTGGGAAAGATTGAAGGCAGGAGGAGAAGGGGACGACAGAGGACGAGATGGTTGGATGGCATCACTGACTTGATGGATATGAGTTTGAGCAAACTCCAGCAGTTGATGATGGACAGGGAGGGAATCCTGGCATGCTGCAGTCCACGGGGTTACAAAGAGTTGGACAAAACTGATTGACTGAACTGAAATGAACTGACCTCTGTTACTAGATATCAGTAGTTTCTCCCCAAGTTATAATAACCAAATAGATCTTCAAACACTTCCGAATGTCCCTGGATAGTAAACGAACCCCAGGTAAGAACTAAGGTCTAAGGTAATATACAGCATTTCACCTCCCCTCTCATCACTTAGTTGTAATAATTGGTACTCTAACCTAACTGAAGTCTATAGTTTATATTCAGTGGTTGAAAAAAGAAGGAATCTTCATCTGGATGGTATAATTCATTCTAAGCTCAAAGTTGCTGTAGAATTTTGTTGTGTAGTTAAATCTGGACCAGGAATGAAGTTCAGAAATAGAGCAGGATAGACAGAGCCAAAGAGCAAATCTGGAGACTGACCTACCTCTGGATATTTTAGTTATATGAGCACAACAATCTCATTTTTCCTTTTAAAGCTGAGCTAGAATTTTTACTTGCTTAAAAATTCGGGTATGATTTTGCTTTCTGATGTCTTGTAATAGCTTTTTCATATTCTTTTTATAGCTTTTCTCTGTTTTCTTCACTCCTCTTATTTCTCCTCCTTCCACCAAGTCATCATCTCTTAAAGGTAGTTTTTTTGACCTGTGTTTTTTCCAAGTTTCCTTACTTTGGAAAAATGTTAATTTACTCACGACTTTAACTATGACCTGTAGATGAAACACTTTCAAAAATAAATCTTAAGTCTCACAATACAAGAGCTCTTCAACTCTTTTTTATATGAGAGTTTTTGTGCATGTGTATGTGTTAGCTTGATTTTTGCTAATATATAGAAATATGTTAAAATATTTTGTCCTAGGTTCCAGTGTGCATGTTAAACTAACTTATTAAATATAATATTTTATCTGTAAATCCTTTTGGATTTTCTATTCATACTCTCATAATAGCTGTAAATATAAAAATTCTCAATTTTTTTGAGCCCTCTTGCTACCTTTTATTGCATTTTCTTGTCCAATGGCATTGACTCTGAACCAGTGCATAGAATTGACAGATGACATTCCTGTCTCTTTACTTTTAATGGATAAGAATATTCCAACAATTAATATTAGGTATCAACCCTGAAATTACTTGAAAGGACTGATGCTGAAACTGAAGTTCAATACTTTGGCCACCTGATGTAAAGAGCCAACTATTTGGAAAAGACCCTGATGCTGGGAAAGATTGAGGGCAAGAGGAGAAGGGGATGACAAAGGATGAGATGGTTGGATGTCATCACTAATTCAATGGACATGAGTTTGAGCAAACTCCTGGAAATAGTCAAGGACAGGGAAGCCTGGAGTGCTGCAGTCCATGCAGTCGCAAAGAGTCAGACATGACCGAGTGACTGAAAAACAACAATATTAGTTATGGTAAAATCTCTAAGTGTATCATGGATATTTTTTTTTCAGATTAAGAACACTTTCTTTCAAAGTTATTAAATTTTTTAATTATCATTTTTATTATGGATGACTATTGAATTTCATTAAGAGCTTATTCTGAATTTCTTGAGATGACAAAATGTTTTATATCTTTTCTATTTTTAATGTTTTGAGTCACACTTAAATTCTCAAATGGTAAACAAAATTTTGTTTATGTAAAACATTTGCTTATAATGTATTATGTGGATCCAATTTTCTAATGTTTTATTTATAATGTTTTTCTATTCTTAAAATTTCTTTGTCAAGTATTGGTATTGAGAGTTTTTTGCCTCATAAAACAAGTCAAGAAATCTTTCCTATCTTTTTATTCTCAGAGAAAGTTTCTGTGGTATATCTATTTTTAAAATAAATACTTGGTCCCTGGTGTGATTCTGTCCTGCGTGGCTGNAAAAAACACCTAAAACACTGAAAGGACCTAGCTCTGTAGAAGACATTAAAGCAAAAATGCAAGCAAGGATAGAAAAAAGTGGTTCCCTTCCCAAAGTGGAAGCCAAGTTTATCAATTATGTGAAGAATTGTTTCCTGATGACTGACCAGGAGGCTATTCAAGATCTCTGGCAGTGGAGGAAATTTCTTTAAGAAAACAGTTTAAACAGTTTGTTAAAAATTTTCTGTCTTATTTCATTTCTATAACAGTTGATATCTGGCTATCCTTTTTATTATGCAGAGTGAGAACATTCCCTACCATCTCTGATAAATGTTGTCCATGTTCCATTGCCAAGAATGTGTTGTCCAAAATGCCTGTTTAGTTTTTAAAGATGGAACTCCACCCTTTGCTTGGTTTTAAGTATGTATGGAATGTTATGATAGGAATAGTAGTAGTGGTGGTCAGACAGATGGAAATGGTGGGGAGACAAAAATATACATGTGAAATAAACTCAGTATTTTAATAAAGTAAAAAAAATAAGTAAATGCTTGGTAAAATTAAGCAGTGAAGGTTTACATTGGAAATTTTTATTTTCTTATTTTTGAGGAAGGAGTTTTAAATTTAACAGTTTTTAAAAATAAAAATAGCTCTTTTCAAATCATCTGTTTCTCTTTGTGTCAAGTTTGCTAAATTTTGACTTAACAAAATTTGTCCAATTTTTCAGATTTCTCATTTACTATTGAGTTGTGCATAATACCTTCTTTTTAAAAAATCATATTAATATCTATGGGGTTCATAACTACATATGCCCCTGCTTTTTAAAAAACTGGATCTTAGAAATTGGTGTTCTCCCTCTGTTCTCTTTCTGAAATTTACAGGAGATTATCAATTTTATAAATTTTTCAAAAACTAAGTTTTGACTTTCTTTTTTCTGTGATCATATCATTTTCTTTATCATGTCCTTCCTTCTATTCTCTTTGCATTTATTCTATTGTGATACAAGGATTCTGAGCACCCGGATCCAGTGTGTGAAGTAGGGGGTTTTCCATACACCTAACAAACAACACTTCTGGCCAGCTTATAACTCAGCCCAATTCTGACACCATATATCTGGAGATAACATCAGATTCCCCAGGTTCAGTGTTCAGACTGTTATTGAAAGCTCAGCCTTTCAGTACACTGGTGAAGAAATCTTGAAGACAGAGCTTTGGGTGAACAGAAAAGGACAGCTTTTCCAGGCAAAGGGAGACATATTGGGCTTCTGTCTTCAGAATCTGTGTGTCTCAACTCAGAGACCTTGAAGAGGGTTTTATAACAGTGTGTCAAATGTGGAGTCTTTGGGAAAATTAAGGTGTGAGCATGGCTTAAACTCCCTTAATCTCTTCTCATGTTTCATGTTTTCAGCCTCCTAAAGACATACCCATTTGAAGGCAGAGCTCCAAAGATGACAAAGAGAGATGAGAAAGCTTTCCTAAGTGAACAATGCAGAGAAATAAAGGAAAGCAATAGAATAGGAAAGACTAGAGATCTCTTCAGGAAAATTAGCGATTTCAAGGGACAATTTCATGCAAAGATGGGCAAAATAAAGGACAGAAGCAGTAAAGAACTAGGAGAAGCAGAAGATAGTCAGAAGAGGTGGCAAGAATACACAGAAGAACTATACAAAAAAATATCTTAATGACCTGGATAATCATGATGGTGTGATCACTCACCTAGAGCCAGACATCCTGGAGTGTGTAGTTAACTGGGCCTTAGGAAGCATCACTATGAACAAAGATAGTATAGGTGATGGAATTCCAGCTGAGCTACTTCAAATCCTAAAAGATGATGCTGTGAATGGTCTACATTCAATATGCCAGCAAATTTGGAAAACTCAGCAGTGGCCACAAGACTGGAAAAGGTCATTTTTCATTCCAATTCCAATGAAAAGCAATGCCAAAGAATGTTCAAACT